GAGAGGTCTTTTCCTGCTTTCTCCTCTAAGGTTTGGATGGTTTCCTGTCTCACATTCAGGTCCTTTATCCATTTTGAGTTTATTTTTGTGAATGGTGTGAGAAAGTGGTCTAGTTTCAACCTTCTGCATGTTGCTGCCCAGTTCTCCCAGCACCATTTGTTAAAGAGACTGTCTTTTTTCCATTGGATGTTCTTTCCTGCTTTGTCAAAGATGAGTTGGCCATACGTTTGTGGGTCTAGTTCTGGGGTTTCTATTCTATTCCATTGGTCTATGTGTCTGTTTTTGTGCCAATACCATGCTGTCTTGATGATGACAGCTTTGTAGTAGAGGCTAAAGTCTGGGATTGTGATGCCTCCTGCTTTGGTCTTCTTCTTCAAAATTACTTTGGCTATTCGGGGCCTTTTGTGGTTCCATATGAATTTTAGGATTGCTTGTTCTAGTTTCGAGAAGAATGCTGGTGCAATTTTGATTGGGATTGCATTGAATGTGTAGATAGCTTTGGGTAGTATTGACATTTTGACAATATTTATTCTTCCAATCCATGAGCAGGGAATGTCTTTCCATTTCTTTAAATCTTCTTCAATTACCTTCATAAGCTTTCTATAGTTTTCAGCATACAGATCCTTTACATCTTTGGTTAGATTTAGTCCTAGGTATTTTATGCTTCTTGGTGCAATTGTGAATGGGATCAGTTTCCTTATTTGTCTTTCTGTTGCTTCATTGTTAGTGTATAAGAATGCAACTGATTTCTGTACATTGATTTTGTATCCTGCAACTTTGCTGAATTCATGTATCAGTTCTAGCAGACTTTTGGTGGAGTCTATCGGATTTTCCATGTATAATATCATGTCATCTGCAAAAAGCGAAAGCTTGACTTCATCTTTGCCAATTTGGATGCCTTTGATTTCCTTTTGTTGTCTGATTGCTGATGCTAGAACTTCCAGCACTATGTTAAACAACAGCGGTGAGAGTGGGCATCCCTGTCGTGTTCCTGATCTCAGGGAAAAAGCTCTCAGTTTTTCCCCATTGAGGATGATGTTAGCTGTGGGCTTTTCATAAATGGCTTTTATGATCTTTAAGTATGTTCCTTCTATCCCGACTTTCTCAAGGGTTTTTATTAAGAAAGGGTGCTGGATTTTGTCAAAGGCCTTTTCTGCATCGATTGACAGGATCATATGGTTTTTCTCTTTTTTTTTTGTTAATGTGATGTATCACGTTGATTGATTTGCGAATGTTGAACCAGCCCTGCATCCCAGGAATGAATCCCACTTGATCATGGTGAATAATTCTTTTTATATGCCGTTGAATTCGATTTGCTAGTATCTTATTGAGAATTTTGGCATCCATATTCATCAGGGATATTGGCCTGTAGTTCTCTTTTTTTACTGGGTCTCTGTCTGGTTTAGGAATCAAAGTAATACTGGCTTCATAGAATGAGTCTGGAAGTTTTCCTTCCCTTTCTATTTCTTGGAATAGCTTGAGAAGGATAGGTATTATCTCTGCTTTAAACGTCTGATAGAACTCCCCTGGGAAGCCATCTGGTCCTGGACTCTTATTTGTTGGGAGATTTTTGATAACCGATTCAATTTCTTCGCTGGTGATGGGTCTGTTCAAGCTTTCTATTTCCTCCTGATTGAGTTTTGGAAGAGTGTGGGTGTTCAGGAATTTGTCCATTTCTTCCAGGTTGTCCAATTTGTTGGCATATAATTTTTCATAGTATTCCCTGATAATCGTTTGTATCTCTGAGGGATTGGTTGTAATAATTCCATTTTCATTCATGATTTTATCTATTTGGGTCCTCTCCCTTTTCTTTTTGAGAAGCCTGGCTAGAGGTTTGTCAATTTTGTTTATTTTTTCAAAAAACCAACTCTTGGTTTCGTTGATCTGCTCTACAGTTTTTTTAGATTCTATATTGTTTATTTCTGCTCTGATCTTTATTATTTCTCTTCTTCTGCTGGGTTTAGGCTGCCTTTGCTGTTCTGCTTCTATTTCCTTTAGGTGTGCTGTTAGATTTTGTATTTGGGATTTTTCTTGTTTCTTGAGATAGGCCTGGATTGCAATGTATTTTCCTCTCAGGACTGCCTTCGCTGCGTCCCAAAGCGTTTGGATTGTTGTATTTTCATTTTCGTTTGTTTCCATATATTTTTTAATTTCTTCTCTAATTGCCTGGTTGACCCACTCATTCGTTAGTAGGGTGTTCTTTAACCTCCATGCTTTTGGAGGTTTTCCAGACTTTTTTCTGTGGTTGATTTCAAGCTTCATAGCATTGTGGTCTGAAAGTATGCATGGTATGATTTCAATTCTTGTAAACTTATGAAGGGCTGTTTTGTGACCCAGTATATGATCTATCTTGGAGAATGTTTCATGTGCACTCGAGAAGAAAGTATATTCTGTTGCTTTGGGATGCAGAGTTCTAAATAGATCTGTCAAGTCCATCTGATCCAATGTCTCATTCAGGGCCCTTGTTTCTTTATTGACCATGTGTCTAGATGATCTATCCATTTCTGTAAGTGGGGTGTTAAAGTCCCCTGCAATTACCACATTCTTCTCAATAAGGTTGCTTATGTTTATGAGTAATTGTTTTATATATTTGGGCGCTCCGGTATTCGGCGCATGACATTTATAATTGTTAGCTCTTCCTGATGGATAGACCCTGTCACTATTATATAATGTCCTTCTTCATCTCTTGTTACAGCCTTTAATTTAAAATCTAGTTTGTCTGATATAAGTATGGCTACTCCAGCTTTCTTTTGGCTTCCAGTAGCATGATAAATAGTTCTCCATCCCCTCACTCTCAATTTAAAGGTGTCCTCAGGTCTAAAATGAGTCTCTTGTAGACAGCAAATAGATGGGTCTTGTTTTTTTTATCCATTCTGATACCCTATGTCTTTTGGTTGGCGCATTTAATCCATTTACATTCAGTGTTATTATAGAAAGATATGGGTTTAGAGTCATTGTGATGTCTGTATGTTTTATGCTTGTAGTGATGTCTCTGGTACTTTGTCTCACAGGGTCCCCCTTAGGATCTCTTGTAGGGCTGGTTTAGTGGTGACAAATTCCTTCAGTTTTTGTTTGTTTGGGAAGACCTTTATCTCTCCTTCTATTCTAAATGACAGACTTGCTGGATAAAGGATTCTCGGCTGCATATTTTTTCTGTCTAGCACACTGAAAATCTCGTGCCAATTCTTTCTGGCCTGCCAAGTTTCAAAAGAGAGATCATTCACGAGTCTTATAGGTCTCCCTTTATATGTGAGGGCACGTTTACCCCTTGCTGCTTTCAGAATTTTCTCTTTATCCTTGTATTTTGCCAGTTTCACTATGATATGTCGTGCAGAAGATCGATTCAAGTTACGTCTGAAGGGAGTTCTCTGTGCCTCTTGGATTTCAATGCCTTTTTCCTTCCCCAGTTCAGGGAAGTTCTCAGCTATTATTTCTTCAAGTACCCCTTCAGCACCTTTCCCTCTCTCTTCCTCCTCTGGGATACCAATTATGCGTATATTATTTCTTTTTAGTGTATCGCTTAGTTCTCTAATTTTCCCCTCATACTCCTGGATTTTTTTATCTCTCTTTTTCTCAGCTTCCTCTTTTTCCATAACTTTATCTTTTAGTTCACCTATTCTCTCCTCTGCCTCTTCAATCCGAGCCGTGGTGGTTTCTATTTTGTTATGCATTTCGTTTAAAGCGTTTTTCAGCTCCTCGTGACTGTTCCTTAGTCCCTTGATGTCTGTAGCAAGAGATTCTCTGCTGTCAGCTATACTGTTTTCAAGCCCAGCGATTAATTTTATGACTATTATTCTAAATTCACTTTCTGTTATATTATTTAAATCCTTTTTGATCAGCTCATTAGCTGTTGTTATTTCCTGGAGATTCTTCTGAGGGGAATTCTTCCGCTTGGTCATTTTGGATAGTCCCTGGCGTGGTGAGGACCTGCAGGGCACTTCCCCTGTGCTGTGGTGTATAACTGGAGTTGGTGGGCGGAGCCGCAGTCAGACCTGATGTCTGCCCCCAGCCCACCGCTGGGGCCACAGTCAGACTGGTGCGTGCCTTCTCTTCCCCTCTCCTAGGGGCGGGATTCACTGTGGGGTGGGGTGGCCTGTCTGGGCTACTTGCACACTGCCAGGCTTGTGATGCTGGGGATCTGGCGTCTTAGCTGGGGTGGGTAGGCAAGGTGCACAGGGGCAGGAGGGGCAGGCTTAGCTTGCTTCTCCTTAGGTGATCCACTTCAGGAGGGGCCCTGTGGCAGCAGGAGGGAGTCAGATCCGCTGCCGGAGGTTTGGCTCCACAGAAGCGCAGAGTTGGGTGTTTGCGCGGAGCGAGCAAGTTCCCTGGCAGGAACTGGTTCTCTTTGGGATTTTGGCTGGGGGATGGGCGGGGGAGATGGCGCTGGTGAGCGCCTTTGTTCCCCACCAAACTGAGCTCTATCGTCCGGGGGCTCAGCAGCTCTCCTTCCCTTTGTCCTCCAGCCTTCCCGCTTTCTGAGCAGAGCTGTTAACTATGACCTCCCAGACGCTAAGTCGCGCTTGCTGTCGGAACACAGTCCGTCAGGCCCCTCCGCTTTTTGCAAGCCAGACTCGGGGGCTCTGCTTGGCCGGCGAGCCGCCCCTCCGCCCCGGCTCCCTCCCGCCAGTCCGTGGAGCGCGCACCGCCTCGCCGCCCTTCCTACCCTCTTCTGTGGGCCTCTCGTCTGCGCTTGGCTCCGGCGATTCCGTTCTATGACCAATTTTAAAGATCACGTCTCTGTTCTCTAAATCTGTCTTGCATGCTATTGACTAAAAATCACTTAATCATTTTGAAAAATAACCTCTTTCACCTTTTCAGAAAACAGCTTTCCAGGAGAGCTTTCTCCCTGATGCTATCAGAGCCACTATTTTTCTTATTTAGCATTTGTCAAATGGCTGCAATTTGATACGTGGGGGAAGCAAGGTTGAGGTGACACTTGCCAGAAAATAAATAATAGCTAGTTGGTTTCATAACTAACAACACCATTCTTCAATTTCCAGGTGAGTCAGAATTTTTAAAAACATATGTGAAATACACATAAAGGACTAGAGAAATAGAAGTTATGGCTGTCTGCGCTCTTCATCCATGAGAACCCTGAAAACAGAAGTATTCCCACCAGCCTGACCCTGACATCACAGCAAGAACCTCCAAAACCAGTCTTTGCCAAATCAGTAGGATAGAGAAGCAACCGCAGAGGAAAGGAAAGGACAACAATGACCCATACGTTATTGCGCAAGTGCTTTTGACCAAAGGCCTGTGGAGGCAAGATTGCGCCAAACCTGTTACAGGAAATTAGATAACACGTATTGTTTGGAAGCTTCAGCTCTATCCTCCAATTCCATTAGCTATTCCTTGACTCTCAATCCTTTGGGGGTCAGGGCCACGTCAACTCCAGCGCTGGGGTTTCCAAGAAGAACTCAACTGACAGCTACGACTGCCCACCCAGCACCCGATCACTTGGACCCTAGGGCTGCAGGTCTAGGCAGGGCCCCCGAAGGCCCAGCTATGTGGCTGGTGTTCACTTGGTGGCTCATTTTTGCTCTGATATTTTGGGATCCCAATTAATGTTCATACCTTTTGAGACTTTATTATTTACTCCCAAAGAACAGTTTGTTTGTTTTTTAAGTTTTGGTTAGATGCAGACTCCTCAAGGGCAGAAATTTCTGAATTATCTTTGTAATCCCAGGACTTGACACGTGGAAGCCAGCACAGAGGACAACAAAGAAAGAAAGGTAGCCAGTCTTCCCGAGAGACCTGGAGGGAACATTTTGATAGGTCTCCTTTCTTCTATAAATGTTTTTCCCAGGGGTGAGAATATAAAGTATGTACAATTTGCAATCCTACTTTTTGCTTTCAATTAATGTGATACAGGCATTTTCCTGTGTGCTATCATCTGAATAATTACATGTTGAAAACTTGATGCCCTAGGTGGTAGTATTAGGAGGTGGGGCCTTTGGTCAGTAGGCCATGAGGGTGGAGCCTTCATAAATGGGATTAGTGTTCTTATAAAAGAATCCCCAGACAGCTTGCTTCCCTCTTTTACAATGTGAAGGTATCACAAGTGTGCGACTTGAAGAGGACCCTTACCCGACCATGCTGGCATCCTGATCTTGGACTTCCAGCCTCCAGAACTGTAAGAAATAAATTTCCGTTGTTTATAAACAACCTAGTCTTGGGGCGCCTGGGTGGCTCAGTCAGTTACGCGTCCAACTTGCATCCAGCTTTGGCTCAGGTCATGATCTTGCGGTTCAATTCGTGAGTTCGAGCCCCGCATCAGGTTCTGTGCTGACAGCTCAGAGCCTGGAGCCTGCTTCAGATTCTGTGTCTCCCTCTCTCTCTCTCTCTGCCCCTCCCTTGCTCATGCTCTGTCTCTCTCTCTCTCTCTCTCTCTCTCTCTCTCTCTCTCTCAAAAATAAATAAACGTTAAAAAAAATTTTTAAACAGCCTAGTCTCTGGTATTTTCTTACAGCAACCCAAATGCACTAAGATACTGTGTTACCATAAATTCTTCCCATTTTTGTGTGTGTGTACATGTGGTGTGCATGTGATTAATATTAACAGTTGTGTGAAAGTACCAAAATTTTCTAAGCCATTTTTTGGTGTTCAGCATTTGGATTATTTCCTCTTACTGTTGTAAATAAAACTGTGGCCAGCTCTTTCATCTGCAGTGTGGCTTAGTTTCTTAGGATTCTCTAAACTGGAATTGCCAGGTTAAAGGGAATAAACAGCTTTTGCTAATTTGATAGTTTAAAACACGTCATCTTGTGGTTTCAGTCTGTATTTCTTTCCTTGCTAATGGTGCCAGACATTTTTCTCTATCTTTGTTTACTAGCTATATTTCCTCCTTTGTGAATTGTCTGTTTGTGTCCTTTGTCCATTTGCCTATTAGGGTCTTCATGTTCTTCTTACCGATTTGCATGAGTTTTTTTCCATTTAAAAAAATTTTTTTAAGTTTATTAATTTATTTTAAGAGACACAGAGACAGAGAGAGCACGAGTGGCGGGGGAGGGGCAGAGGGAGAAGAAGAGAGAGAATCCCAAGCAGGCTCTGTGCCAGCAGCACAAAGCCTGATGCAGTACTCGATCTCATGAACTGTGAGATCATGACCTGAGCCAAAATCAAGAGCTGGCCACTCAACCGACTGAACCACCCAGGTGCCCCAAGTTTTTTTTCCATTTTAAAGATTCTAAACCTTATCATATTTTCTGAAAACAATTTCCCTCTTTCTGTGGCCTGGGTTTTAATGCTATAGTGTTTGTTTATTGATATAGAGATTTTCTACTTTGTATAACTTAATAAGTGCTTTTCCCCTGTACTTCTATTGTTTCTCACATTGAAATTCTTGAAAGAGGGTCATATGGGTGGCTCTGTCAGATGAGCATCAAACTCTTGATTTTGGCTCAGGTCATGATCTCATGGTTCATGGGTTTGAGCCCCATGTCAGGCTCCATGCTAACAGTGCAGAACCTGGTTGGGACTCTCTCCCTCCCCCTCTTTCTGTCCCTCCCCCACTCTATCTATCTCTATCTCAATATACATAAATAAACTTTTAAAAAAGAAGAAATTCTTGGAAGAGAAGCTCATACCCAGGTTGCTTTTTTAAACTCCACTATTTTCCAAAATCCACCATCATCCAGCTGTTGAGTCTAGGACTCTTTGCAAGCTGTTCTCTGTAAATTCACCAATGATCTTCTACGACCTTTGAAATCTTATGGCCCCCACGTGACCTGGAAGCATCTGGAAGGTGGAGAGCACCTCTCCCCGTGACCTCCAAGGTGGACCCTGTTGATTTTACCTCCCTAGCATCATCTGCTGTTTCTCATGGGCTGCTCCTTCTCAGTCCCCTTCACCAGACCCTCCTTATCCTCCTAATCCTCCTAATCCTCCCATTTCCAAAGGTTCTGAGAGATGTCTCCTCTTGTTCATTAAGTCTTATTCCCCAGGTGATTAATCTCATTTAGTCCTTGGCTATAAATGCCAACTCCATGCTGGTGACTCCCAAATTTCCATTGCCGACCGGGACCTCACCCCTCAACTCCATACTCCCAACTTCCTCTGCACCATCTCTACTAGGATATATAACAGGCATCTCAAACTTCACACGTGGCCACAAGACCAAAGTCAAATCTTTGATTTACTCTCCTAGACTTGTCCTCCCTATCCCAGCAAAAGGCAACTTCAACCTTATAGATACACTAAAAACTTTGGAGTTATCTTTGACTCCACTCTGTCATACCCTAAATCTCCAGTCTATTAGAAAATCTTATCAAATGTATCTTGAATCCAATCACTTTTCACTTCCACCCAATCCAAGATCTGTCACCTGGGCTACTGCAGTAGAATCTCAACTGGTCTTCCTGCTTTCTCTCTTGGTCCTTTCACCATCTGTTCCCCATACCACAGCCTTTTAAAAGGTGTCACAGCACGGCTTGGAACCTTCCAATAAAGTCTTTACCACATCCCGTAAGTCGGCACATAATCTGTCTCCCACCTCACCTTTTTGACTATTTTCTCTAGTCAGAGTCTTGCTTACTCTGCTCCAGCCAACTTGGTTGTACGATTCAGTCAAGATAACCAAGCATGCTCCTGTCTCAGGAGGTTTGCACCTGTTCTGCACTCTACCTGAAATGCTCTTCCACAGATACCCTTGCTGCCTCGTCTGCTTCAGTCTCTACTCAAATGTCATCTCATGAAAGAGGCCTTCCTTTACTCTGCCCTATTTTTCTCCATAGCGCTTGTTGTCACTTACATATGATATATATATATATTGTTTATTGTCTCTCTCCACTGACTAGAATATAGCTCTATGGTAGAAACCTTAAAGTGGTTTCCCATGATCCTGACCTCCCCCGTATGCCTGCCCTTAGATAATCCCCTCCCCTTGAGTGTGAGCTGAACTTAGTGACTTATTTCAAAACAAACAGAATGTGGAAAAAGTGATTGGACATCACTTCTAAGATTAAGTTACAAAAGACTAACTGCTGTCCTGCTTCTTGACCTCTAGCCCATTGGAAAGGCCCACATTGCAATGAGTTGATGTCTCTGGCCAACAGCCAGGAAGACATGAGGCTAACAACTACATTGAGTGAGCTGGGAAATATATCCTCTTCTAGCAGACCTTGAGATGACTATGGCCTTATGTGAGACTTCAAGTCAGAGGCACCCAGAGTCCCCAAGTCATGCCCAAATTCCTGATCCACAGAAACATAATAATAATAAATATTATTTATATAATAATAATAAATGTTTGTTTTAAGCCCTGGGTTTTGGAGAAATGTGTCACACAGCAGTAGCTGACTAAACAAGATCCAATGGAGCAGGATTACTATTTGTTTTATTCACATTATCCCCGACATCTAGAAAAGGCACACAGTAGTTACTTGGGATTTTTCTGAATGAATGAATGAGTTTCAGTTGTGCTGGGAAGATGGTCTGTTTTGCTCAGGACAGTGAGGTATGCCTATGTGAGTACCAGAAACTACTTCAGCCATTTAATTACCATTTGTTAAGCCATCCTGAATGCAAGGCCAATACAGAGGGGGCAGAGCCAAGAAAATACATTCGCAGAGTCAGAGACCCAGGGAACACACCTGGCCTACCTGGGAAATTTTTTGGTTACTTGAACAAAGTTTAAACTAGCTTGGGCTGAGTTCTCAATTCTTTGAAATGAAAAGCATCCTAACTATTACAGTTTTTATAGCATCATTCTCTCCCCTGCCCCAAAATATTCTTTATTTTTTTCTTTCCTCTGCCTACCCCCTTAATGGCAGAGATTACAGTTGTGTATGCAGTTTCCATTCTCCCTTCTCCTCTATCAAGAGAACGTGATTTGGTTAAAGGAATAAGGGGCCTAGCTAAAGAACTACATTTCCCAGCCTCCTTTGAAGATAGGGCACGTGACTGAGTTCTGGCTAGTGTAAGCAAACATTACGGGGTGGGTCTTCTGGAAAGACATTCTTAAAAGAGGCTCACTTGGCTGTCCTCTTCCGCTCTCCTGCTGCCTGAAATGTGATGGTGGGACCTGATGTGGCCATTTTATGATTGAAGCAAATTTGAGGATGAAACACACACACACTAAATATGGTGGAAGAAAAGAGAGGGCCTATGTCTCTAATGAAGCCAACATACTAACCCTGAGAACCCCACCTCAGAACTTCTGTGATGAGAGAAATACAAATCCTAATCTTGTTTTTTCTGTTCTCTATAGCATAGCTGACATAGCCCTTAAATATGAACTTCCCCAGAATGTGTCCTTGTCTTCTCTTTTCATGCACACACCTTTCCCAGCTGACCTCATCTGCTCCCATGACTTCAAGAATTTCCATGACTTCTATGTAATAAAGACTCCCAAACTGATGCCTGTGCCTCCTGCCAGTTTTCCAGACTCCAGACCCAGAGTCACAAGTGACTCCTGATATCGCCACTGGATGGCACTTTAGAAGCATTGGGGGGATCGCATGGATTGTGGTGTCAGGTAGATATGTTTTCCAATCCTGACTCCACAACTCTGAGTAACCTGGAGTGAGCAACGGCATCTCTGAGCCTTAGTTTTCTTACCTGTGAAATGAACATAGTAATACTACTTCATAGGGTTTTTTTGAAACAAATATATGTAAAACAGTGCTTGTCATATAACCAGCCCTAAATACCTTTAATTCTCTCCTTCCTGTCACCCATCTCCACCCCCTACCCATGTCCATTCTCTTCTTCTTACCTTCAGGTACATGTCTTCACCAACTACCCATTCTCCCAAGATAGAAATCTCAGAATCTTCTTCAGCTTCTGTTGGTCCCCATCCTTCCCTCATAGCCAATCAGTGACCAGATTCTGTTGATTTTATCCTACAACTGTGATCGTGCTCTTCTATCTCCAGTGTTACTCTTACCAGCCCTTACCTGGCTTCTTTCTACGGCCAACCATAGGCTCTTCACAATGTAATCTTCCACCTTTCTATCAGAGTTGTCCCTTTGGGAAACAAAACACAAAACAAAACAGGATCTTGTCTCTGCATAGCTTATGGACCTCTCCTGAATTTTGTTGCCTACAGAATAAAATCCAGATTCAAGAAATGGTCATCCGAGGCTGTCCCATCGCATCCCATTCAGCTTCTTGCTCCTCTCTCCCCAGGAACTCACCATTCTCCAGACATATTAGGCCATTTCCTGACTCTGTCTTCACAGCTTTTGGGATGTGTATGTTCCACCCTTGATCCTTTAAGCCACACCGTCACCATCAATAGGTGGCCCAATAACAGTTCGAAAGTTTAAAACGTTACTCCCTGCGCTTCCCCCTTTTCCTCCACCCATTCTAAAAGAATCTGTTCTTAGTCTCAGGGGAGGTTAGGCAGGTGGACAGCAGTGTTGGCCTGGAGACACTGCCCTCCTGGCTTGCATTTCCCAAGCCCTAAGCCCACTGAGCTGAATAGGTGAGAGTGTGCCCCTGGAGGAAGCAGGGCCAGAGGGAGGTATTTCCCTAAAACCAAGATGAGATGCCTGGGCCTGGGGAGAGGAAAGAGGTCTCTGGGACCCACCAGCATCAGGGAACCTGTGCCCTGCTTTCTAGATGCACCAAAAGGTATAGCAGGCACTTGGTGGGATTACCCATGATACACCAAGGAGAAGAGATTCTACAGCCAGGGGTTTGTGTCATTGAGACAGTGGTGCAGGGCCCTGCAGGCTGAATAGCACACCAGGATTTTAGCACAGCCGTGGGTGTGGGGGGAAGCCCCAGGAAGGACTAAGATTAATTTCATACAAGCCTAATAAGATAGGGCCTGGGGCTGAAATGAAGCTGAATGATAAGAAATGAAATGGGGTATTTAGTGCTCAGAATTTCTTCCTTGAGAAGCAAGCCTTGACCCATCTTCTTGGGCTCCTGCCCTGCCCCTCCCCACTTGCCCTGTGATCTCTTGCTCTTGTCTTTCTGCCCCAGATTTCTGGCTCCCTAGACCTGCTGTCAGGGGTTTTGGCCAACCCTCACAACTTCCCTCCTGGTCCTTTGGACTTTGAGCTTCCTGCAGAGCTATTGACTCCCAGCAGCTTGTTCCAGCATGCCCCCACCCAGCTAGGCCAGCCTCTGGCCCTGAAGGATAGGGGTGAGAAGGGACACAAGCCCAGAAAGCTTTTTTTCTCTTCTCTACCTGGCAGAACTTTACTTATCCTTCAGGGCTTTGCTCAAATGTCACCTCCTGGGTGACCTCCCTAGGCAGCGTTCTTTCTCTGGGTTTCACAGCATCTTGCTCATACCTCTGTGCTTGTCACAATGTATTATTATACATGTATTTACCCTGTGGCTTTTTCACCTGGAGTATGAACACTTTGGGGATAGGAACCATGTCTCATTCACCTGGCACAGTGTCAGCTGAAGAACAAGGCCTCACAAATGCTTGTTAAACGTCATTTCTCATGCGGTCCCCTAGACTCTCATGCACCATTCTATCCTGTTCCTCTGTATCCTGTATTGGGTAGGGATGCATCTGGCTGCAAGTAACAGAGAACCTGACTACAGTGGCCTAAATAGAGATTTATTTTTCTCACACAGAAACAAGTCTATAGGTAAGCAACTCAGAACTGTCAGACACAAAGCTGCTTCATATCTTTCTATCCTGCTGGGGTTTTTTTTTTAAGTTTATTTATTTATTTATTTTGAGAGAGAGAGAGCAGGGGAGGGGCAGAGAGAGGGAAAGAGAGAATCTCAAGAAGGCTCAGTGTTCTCAGCACGGAGCACAGAGCCTGACTCAGGGCTCAAACTCACAAACTGTGACATCATGACCTGAGCCGAAATCAAGAGTCAGACGCTTAACTGACTGAGCCACCCAGCATCCCTATCCTGCTGGTTTTAATGTGTTGGTCCTAAGATGACTACTTTACCTCTGAGCATCACATATCAGTTCTAAGCAGGAAGAATTAGGAAGGGTGAAGAGCCAAGTATAACCCTTTGCATCAGGAAAACACAGGTTTTCCCAGAAAACTTCTGCTTATATCTTATTGTCCAGAACTGTGTCACATGACCACCCCAAGCTGCAAGGAAAACTGAGAAGGGAGGGGTAGGCAAGGGAGAAAGTGGAGGAGCAAGGGTGTGAATGAGAACATCCTTGGGCCCAACCCCAGGCCTATGGAATCACAAATGCTGGAGGTGGAGCCCAGCATTCTGTGCTGTAATGAGCCTCTGAATGATTCCGATTCAGCTGAAGTTGGAGAACCCTAGTCCTATATTATGGCCAGTTGTATGGTAAGGAAAAAGTCCTAGACTGGAATTGAAATCGCCCTTTTTTTCTTTTTAATGTTTATTTATTTTAGAGAGAGAGCAAGTGAGCAGGGGAGGGGCAAAGACAGAGGGACAGAGGATCCAAAGACGCAGGCTCCATGCTGACAGCAGAGAGCTTGATTTGGAGCTCAAACTCACAAACTGTCAGATCATGACCTGAGCCGAAGTCAGACACTTAACGACTGAGCCACCCAGGTGCCTCGCCCATTTTTTAAATATAATTTAAACCACAGTTTTCTGATCTATAAAATGGGAATAATAAAGGTTGTCCCAACTTTATTCACTGAATTGTTGTGAAGACCAATTTAAATATTGCAGATGAGGGGCACCTGGGTGGTTCTGTCAGTTAAACATCTGACTCTTGATTTCAGCTCAGGTCATGATCTCATGGTCTGTGAACTGGAGCCCGGCATCGGGCTCTGCACTAATGGTACAGAACCTGTTTGAGATTCTCTCTCTCCCTCTCTCTCTGCCCCTCCCTGCTCGTGTCCCTCCCCCCTCTCTCTCTCTCAAAAAAAAAAAAAAAAAAAAAAAAAACTTAAAAAAATAAAATAAATATTGCAGATGAAAACATACTGAAAAATGTAAGTCATGGGACAACGGTACTGATTTTGGAAATTTAGAAGTTCTGAGTTCAGTTTATGTAACTGATGTATTCAGCAGAGTAGAAAAGCCTGGGAAAAGCAAAACTATCTGTACAAAGTATGAAGAGATCAAAAAATTACGACAGTAAAGGACGAAAATAGAGATTGAAACCACAGACGTTCAAAATACACTGTTATCAAAAACAAATGTTTGCATCAGCCTCAGTTGTTGCTGCTACAGGTGGTTTCCATGAGAGGAAAGAGGACATTCGTGGTTTCAAAACAAACACTTTGGAGGATAATGAGATGGAGTATTTAAGGGAAAGGGTTGGTAAGAAGATATGAGACAAATGTAAGGGATTTGGTGTTCTACCATTTGGATTAAAAATACTGAGATGCCATTGTCTGAGCACCAAGCAGATTGTCCATCCCTCACTGTAGGAAAACCTGCTCATTCAGTTCCATGTTTATTCATTCCACAGCAGTCACCCATGCAACCAACACTGTATTTCATCGGTGAATTGGGATGGTTCATCAGCTGCTCACTAGGCCCCAGGGAAGTCACAGAGTGACATTTGCCTTCAGATAAACTCCTTAGGTTGGGTTATTGCTGTGACTGAAATAGCAGAGCCATCCCAACAGCGGGAGATTGACCTGTCCGCTGAAGTGAAAACCACAGTGTCAAGAATAAAGTGTTGACAAAACAAAAAACATACACTGAAAGACAAGGACTTGTACACTACAAATGGGTGGATTCTGTAACAGGTGAGTTGTAGCTCAATAAAGAAGAAGAAAGAAAGAAAGAAAGAAAGAAAGAAAGAAAGAAAGAAAGAAAGAAAGAAAGAAAGAAAGAAAGAAAGAAAGAAAGAAGAAAGAGAAAGGAAAGGAAGGAAGAAAAGGAAAGAAGGAAGGAAGGAAGGAAGGAAGGAAGGAAGGAAGGAAGGAAGGAAGGAAGGAAGGTAGCAAAAGAGAATGAAGTGTTTACAGGCAGAGATCCTGTGACTGGGAGGCTGTGCAGCCACTAAGAGACACTGTGTGGTGTGTGTGTGTGTGTGTGTGTGTGTGTGTATGTGTTAAATTTGTCCGTACAAAATGTGAGGCCAAGGTTTATTTACTGATTGATTTGTTTAACATCTGGGCTCCAGCATGCAAGTGCTATGATAAGAGAGTTTGTAGAAGCAAAATCACAAAGCCACATGCTTCTTGGCTCTGGTGAAAGAGGGTAGCAATCTGCATATGGAAAGCTGATGATGTAACTGTCTGAAACTGGTGGTGACCTGAAGCCAAGCTTAGTCCAGATAAATAGGCCAATTCCAGGGCACAGATCAGAAATATCCAACCACTTTGGGGACTGGACTTCCCGAGGGTGTTTTCGTTCATCAATCAGTCAAATAGAGCCTCACCCATTTCTCCTCCTTCCCCTTCTGTGAACCCCTCACAACCTCCCTCACCCCTGCAAGTGGTAATAGGTGGCCAGGACAGCTATAATTCCATATGTGAACACGTTTCCTTTGTTGTGTTACTCTCCTTCCTTCCTAGGGGATTGTTCTGGTTATTGCTGCTCCCAAGAACAGGTATTGAAATGTAGTCAGTGGGACAGTGTGTTTTGGGGTTAAGATCCTTGGGATCAAGTGCAAGCCCTACCCTTCACAAGTTAGTGACCTGGATAAGTCATTTAACACCTTTTGATCCCATCCCTTCTCTGGTATTCAAGAACTTTGCTTCTGAAATAACCCCCTCTCCTGCAGCCACAGTCTCAGATTCTCTATCGTGCCGTTCTCACCAGCAATACCAGCGACTGGAACTTCTCCCGTAGTAAAAATCCAAAATAAATACAAAACCTCCCTGTCTCCCCATTTGGAGAGATTGTCTTTAGTTCCACCTTAATCCTTTGTTCTGTTCTCCTTCACAACAAAATTCCTAAAAAAGAATTGCTTAGGGGCACCTGGGTGGCTCGGTTGGTTGACTGTCTGACTCTTGATTTTGGCTCAGGTCATGATCCCGAGAGTGGTGGGATCCAGCCCTGGATCAGGCTCCGTGTGAGAGTGCAGCCTGATTAAGATTCTCTCTCTCTCTCAGGGCACCTGGGTGGCTCAGTCCCTTAAGTGCCCACTCTTAATTTCAGCTCAGGTCATGAAGTGGTTCGTGAGACTGAGCCCCACGTCAGGCTCTGCACTCACAGCATGGAGCCTACTTGGGATTCTCTCTCTCCCTCTCTCTCCCTCTCTCTCTCTCCCTCCCTCTCTCCTTCTCTCTCTCTCAAATAAACTTTAAAAAAAAGATTCTCTCTCTCTCCCTCTGCCTCCGTACCCTGCTCACGCTATTATATAAAATAATTTAAAAAAAGAATTGCTTAGTGTACAGGCTGAATTGTGTGTGACTCCCCCCGCAACCCCAAAATTAATATGTGGAAGCCCTAGCCCTCAGCACCTCAGAAGGTGATTATATTTGTAGACAAGGCCTTTAAAGAGGTTTAGGTTAAACCAAGACAGTCTGATTGGGCCCAATCCCAATCTGACTGCCATCTTTACCAGAAGAAACTAGGACGCAGACAACACAGAAGGAAGTCCATGCAAGGACACAGGGAGAAGGCAGCCATCTGCAAGTCACAGAAAGAGGCCTCAGGAGAAACCAATCCTTCAACACCTTGATCTTGGACTTCCAGCTTCCAGAACCGTGAGAAAATAAATACCTGGTGTTTAAGTCACGCTTCTGCAGCACTGTGTTATGGTAGCCGTAGCAAATTGATACTCTTAGCACCACTGACCACCATCTTGCCAGAGCCAGAGACCATTTGTCCTTAATCATATTTGGCTTCTCCACACTCAGTCCCAATTTCCTTTCTAAAGGCATTTTTGGCACTTAGATTCCAGGTTACCTCACTTTAATTTTTCTCTCACCTAATCAGCTGCTACTTCTCAGTCTTCTCCGCTAATATTCCTTATCCTTCTTTCTTCTAAATATCAGAGCCCTAGGCCCAGGCCTCAGCCCTCTTCTCTGTTTAGATCCTCTCTCTGGTCATTCCATCCAATTCTGTGGCTTTAAATATTATTTAAAAGCTGGTAAGTCACACATTTATGTTACCAGCCCCTACCTCTGCCTTTAGTTCTGTGCTCAAATATGCAATTGCCCACAAGAATATGCAATTGCCCCCTAGATTTCCAAAGAGCATCTCAAACTCAACATGTCTGAAACTCTAATGGCCCATCACATTTAGAATGAAATCCAAACTTCTCGTCCCTGCTTGCACGTTTCCTCATGACCTTTCTGACCTCATCTTCCACTGCCCTCCTCCCTCACCACCCTCCAGCCACACTGCTGGCCCTCTATGCACACACTTACTGTTCCTTCTGCCTCTACTATTAGTCACAGGATAGAGCCTCACAGAGCTTACTTACTCCTTTACATCATTCAGGGCTTGGCTCAAAATTCACCTTCTCGACCCACTGTCTCACATATCACTCTCCTAAAGGTTGTAGAACTCAGTACTCTCAGGTTACCCTTATAACATTTTAATAACCTCATACTATAGTGTCAAGCATTATATTAAATGCTTTATATGCATGATCTCATTTAATCCTCAGGACCACCTAGTAGAGACAATCTTATCTCCACTTGCAAATGAAAAAACTAAGGCTAAGAGAGGTCAAATCCAAGGTCACAGAGCTTGCACTAAGGTCTGATTCCAAAACTAGCACTCTTAACCATGAGAAACAGCTGCTTCTCACTTTAAATGCTATTCTTAATTATGGACGGTATGGCCTCCAGGCTTGATTGGTTTCAGTTGCACTTGTGTTTGAGCAGGTAAAGTAACTCAGGGGTATCGGTGTGTGTTGGGGAAGGGCTTATTTTCCAAACTGTGGCTTTAAACGTTCAGATAATACAAAATGCAGGTTAAGTAGGGACAAATTCAAACATGGGTCTAGACCTCTGTGGCTTGCTTGTATAGACTTATTAAAGAAGATGAGAGCATTTTGTCCTTAACCTTGTTGGGTTTTTTTAGGCTCACGTTCTGAGAAGCTATTAAAGCTTTTAAGCTTTAGATTTTTCCTTTAAAAAAAAAAAATCCTATTTCCACAAGGTGATTAGAAACAAAACCCTTACAATAAAGTCCTTAGAAAAAGGTCTGTGTGCTGGTGAAAACAAATATTTATCGAACACCTAATGTCCCAGACACTTTACTGATTTCATTGTCTCTCCAAGTTGGTATTTTTTTCCTGCTCTTCCAGTTGAGGACACTGAGGGACTCAGAAGGTAAGTAATGTCCCCATACGGAGCAGGAACCCCCCAGTTTCCTCCTCTTGCTTACCACATGCTCCAAAGTGGTTTTGCCTTCCCAGCATGCAATGTAATTGATTACCTGAGGCCCGTTCCAGGACTCCTGTTCTCCGGGCTCTGAAATTTAGTTCCATGCTATGGTAAACATGAAAAGTTACTTCCTAGGGACCTATGTGCCTTTCTGGAAGTGTTGCAGAAACCCAAAAGACTGCAAAGGAATTTAAAGTTCTCATAGATCTGTGGGTCTGCTCAGGTAACCAACAGATACCAGATCACACCCAATTCTCAGTTGACACTGTTTCGTTCAAGAACAGTGCTGTTCCTCGAGCACAAAAACTCTTCTGCCTCCAGCCTTTGCGGTGGCTCTTCTGGCTGCCTAGGCTACTCTTTCCCCTCATGTCTGCCCTCCTGTTCTGGCTGCTCAAGTGCTACCTCATCAAAGAAGCCTGCCTGACCATCCTATGTCCCCACCAGCCTGTCTAACCCTTTACCCAGCTTTGTTTTTCTTTGCAGCACCCACTGCATTATATATTTACTTGCTTATTGTTTCTCTTCCACTAGGTGGAAACTTCTTGATGGCTGAGACTTTGTTTTGTTCACTATTGAGTCTCTGGTGCCTGGCATAAACTAGGTGCTCATTAAATAATTATTGGAGGAATGAATGGATTCTGTGAATACAAGAGACCTGAATGAATGGGTGGATGGGGCTTAACCACTACAGGTCTATATATTTATGTGTTCCCTCTTCCTGAGCTACAAAGGGAAAGAAATGGCTACTCCTACCAAAGAGGACTAAAGCAGAAGAGGCCCCAAAAGAACAGAAACCAAAACCCCTCCTGCCTCAGATTATCAACATGCTTAGGTCTTTTGCCAAAGTCATGAACAATCTGGACATTTAAGAACATAAATTAATCTTGCAAAATGTAGTAGATATTTAAGGTAGTTAATTCCAGCAAAAAGAATAACCCAAAAACAAGTTTCCTTAAATAGGAAGACTATGTAAGTGGTGTATAGCTTATGTAAGTACCAATCATATTATCTGCATCATCCTTTTAAGAAGAGCAGAAAGACACATTCTACTCAAGGTGTCCCCATAATAGAGCAATTCATGGCTACAGACCCCACCCGGGGCTGCCTCTGGCACATGGCAACAGTTGGGCAGTGACCCAGAAGTAGGCATGTGAGTGAAGAGTTAGCTTTGGCAGCAGGAGTTGTAGAAGACCTGACCTGCACTCACACAGGTAGCCACTGCAACTGCCCTTTCACCCGGTTGGGTCTACCCCACACAACTGGTCCCTAGGGCTTTGCGGCTCCCTAGGGCTGGGATGGTGTATACAGGGACATTCTGTATCATGTATCCAGGCCATATGTATTAAGGATATGATTAAGGATAATCATCATAAGGATGATTCCCTTTCTGCTCTGCAGCTAAGTTTTAATACAGTTTAAAATAATTGAGTACTTATTTGTGCATTCACCTAAAAACTAAGAAGCCTTTAAATTCAGGACTTTAGAGGAACTGGAGAGAGCACTGTGCGTCTGGGAGATTGTCATCGATCACTCATAATCCAGCCTATGCCACCACAGCCCCAAGGGCTCTTCTCCCCAAATACTGGCTGCTGAATGGGCTAGGCCCATCTCCCTTCTCCTTTCTGGTGCCTCAGCCAGAACACAGGCTCTTTTCATTTTGAGGATTTTGTTTCTAATCACCATGTGAACATCGGTAGGATATAGGGTTAAAAAAAATGAATATGCAAGAGTTATAAGGTTCCAGGGGCTTGGAAAGCTGTTAACACCTATGGCCCTGGTATCATTTCTGACTTCTTCCTGAGATGGTAAGGGCATCCCAGTTAGATTTGTTTTCTGTTTTTTATTTCAGAAAGTAGAGCACCAAACCTCTGGCTTCCTTCTGTTTCAGGCTTTCTGGAGACCATGAGAGACCCTTTCTTTTCTTCTCTTAGAACAGATTTCACTGGAATTCCAAGTGATTGCTCTTCTAAAATGCAATTAAACAAAAACTCTTCTGTCTTTCCCAGACACTTGACAGCATGCTGGATGGACGATACAAGCCCAACAGGCTGCATTTGCTGATGGACCGATTGTAAATTGCCTGAGCGGACTTCACTTTCAGACCCTCCTCAGTATAGACTGGGCGACTTGTTGCTTTATTGTTCTGAGCTTGCCCTGAGTAGCCACCCAGTGGGGTTCTCCATCTGTGGCTTGATAGGAAGCAACATTCTTTAGCAGCCTTGAAGCAACTGGCAGGGCAATGGCTACAGCCTGCCTTTGTAAGCAGGAGGCAGGGGCATTAACTGTATTGTTTCTGGACGTTGGCATAAATGTGGCCCTGCCCCGTGGTCCTTCACAACAAAACTTGAGGTTGAATCCCTTTTGTTGGGGTAGATAAGGGAGTGTATTGAGCTCTATGGAAAACAGACAGGAGGACTCTGACAGATGGGGAAAGGGTCACCCCCACAGCAGGGAGTCAGCCTGGACGTGGGTACTATAGCAACCTGCTGAGAATTATCCTGCCTATTAAAGGATGGTTGGATTCACTGGGTCTGCCCAGGCAGGGAACCTGGCTGGGTCTTTGTCAGCAGACAGACGAGAAGCTGGTGTGCAGCTGTGTGATTTGACAGTTTGGTTGTATTCAGACAGCTCTATGTTGTGGAGATGACATTACTCCTGAGCCTGACCGCATGCATCTATGTAAACCAGTGGCATACCCGAGGAGGGAGTCAGTGGGAGCAATCCACTCCCGGTGCAGACAGTAAGCAGAAAATTTCTGTGTGTGTGCTTGTCTGTAGAAAATTTTCAAACAATAATAAAACTAAGTAAAAGTCAGTTTGCTTTTTATTATTTTCATGCTCCAACAGTTCCAAACAATGTACAGGGATAGAATACTTCTCCCTCATAGGGGCAGACTTCTCCCACAACCCCTCTCTCACCCCCTTGGTACGCTACTGGGATAAACAAGCACCGGGTGGGGAGATTACAAATCAGTGAGAGGGTAAACAGAAAGCAAATGACCCCTGAGATAAGAAGTTTTTTTTTATCCCCCAAATTCTACTTTGTGGAGTTTAGAGAAGGTTGATCTGTCTGCCAGGGGCCTTCCTATTGTTTAGCTTTGCATTTTGGTTATCTATTGCTGCTTGTAAAACCATGCCAACATTTAGTGCCTTAAAACAACAGTCATTTATTTGTTTGTGATTCTGCAGTTTGACAGGGCTCAGTGAGGATGGCTCATCGTTATTCCCTGTGGCGTCTGCTGGAGTTGGAACTTCCTAGAGGGCTTTTTCACCCCTATGTCTGGGATCTCAGGTACCATGAGCTAAATAATCTAGGGGCTGGCCAGGCATGTCTGTCTTTCCATGTGGCCTCTCCACATAACTAGCTTGAGTTTCCTCGCAGCATGGTGTTCTCTTCTTATGCGGTAGTAGGCTTTCCCCAGAATGCAAAGCAGAGGTTGTCAGGTTTGCTTAGTGTCTGGTCTTAGACATGCTAGAAACATTATGTCTGCCACATTCTATTGGTCAAGGCAGTCACAGGTCCAGCCCAGATTCAAGGGGAAGAAAAACAGTCTCCACTTCATGATGCAAGAAATATTGTTGTGACCGTCTTTGGAAGCATCATCTACCTCACATTGTTTTCTCCATCATAACAAAGTATTGTATGCTTTCACATTTTTTCTTTAACAGTGATAAACCTTATCAGATTGGAAAAGGTAGGTCTCAAATTACGAATTAGACCTTTAGAATTATCGTGCCTTTATTCTGAATGGGGAGATGGTCTCTTCATGGATTCCTAAGAAGGAGCAAGAATTTATGGAGCTCCAAAGATAGCAATGATATTAGAAAATATTGGGGTGAGCCTGATTTGCCAAAACCTAAAATCTAAAGCATACTCAATTCCATGAGATTGTCCAATCCAAGTTACAGCCTCAGTCTACCTCCTGAGGAAAGTTCAAATGGCCACCTTATTTTTGTTATTACTTCTGGGTATCAGAAAATCCCCTGAACTTTGAGTTACATCCTTTAAAACCAGGATTCTTGTGAGAGTCAGAAGGGTGAGAGCCCTTCAGACACTGTATGATTATACCTGTGAGCAGTTGCTATAAATTTCGCCCTGGGTCAGAGAATTGCATCTCAGTCCAAACAGGAACCAGGAGAGAAGAGATGCATCAACATGACTCCCTTGTCTCTGCCAGACACAGTTAATCCATCCATCTGCATACAGAACTTTGATTTGGAAAGCATCTGTCAGCTCACCCTTTCATTCTCTTCTCACTATAAATAACCGGTGAGCAGGTAGGCCCCATGTGAATGCCAACGGTATGCAGGTATGACAACAGTAAGAGGTCAGAGCTTCCGTGGGTCACTGGCGAGCGTGGATGCAGAGCCTAGGGAAGAAGCAGCTCTCCACGCTCTCCTCCCTCCAGGGTTCTTCAAATCTGCTGGAGCAGAAGCCCGGCCAGATCACTGACCTCACTGCCTTCAGGTTTGGTCTCATGGCCTCTTCTGCTCTGCCTGCGTGCAGGTTGAATCCTGAGCCTGCAGGCAAGTTCGGTCAGCTCCCAGTGTCAGTCACCACAGGGTGCTGGGGCCTGGCTCCAAAAGGAGGCTAAGGGGGCCAGCATCCCCTGTACCTAGAGCCAGACTTTCCTTCCCAAGAAGGCCAAGAAGCGGGCCTGGAGCTGCCTTTGCAGAGCCATGTCTAAGGCTTTACCCCTATATTGGCCTGAACAGGCCTCTTGGGGTCTCTGGCCTCCATCACTCTCAACGCCTTTTTTTTTTTTTTCTTTTTTTTTCTGCTCACAGCAAAAACTGCTGTGTCCCTCAGTGCCCCAACCCCTTGGCCCCTGCCCCCTTACTGGGGCAGACGGGCCCACTGGGGTCGGGCTCTTCCTCTCACCTTTCCCGTTCTCCTCACACTCCCGCGGGTTCCCATTTCTGTTCGCCCCAGGCCCGCCTGGCCTCCCTTCCCCTCCCAGTGGCCCCAGTGCCGGCACCCACCCCCTCACACCCTTCTCGCCCTCCCTTCCGCTCGCCCCTCTTCTCGCCCCTCGGCTTTTGTTGCCCGGGCTTGTTTCTAACTTGAGAGCGTCGCCCGGCTCGGCGCCAGGTCACGTGCGTTAGTGACAACCTCTCGCAGGGCGGCCCCGGGCCCCCCGCGCCGCCGATTGGTGGGATCGGGCCTGGCGCGGCCCCGGGGCGGGGCGGCCGGGCGGGCGGGCCCGACGGGCG